CCTGGGCCTGACGCGCCCGCGGGCTCGCTGTCTCGGGTCGTCGAACCTCGCGCTGCCGATGGCCGCGCCTAGAAGCTCAGCGTTATCGCGCCTGCGCGAAGCCATCTGCTGGAGCCATTCGAGCCTGCGCACTCGTAGCTCAGAAAATAGTGGGGCCAGTTTGAACCGTCGGGATATCTCGCGATGATGTAGAGCGTCCGGATGTCGAGCCTCGGGGCCTCAGTAGGAGGCGCCTTGGAAGATCGCCCTGCACTTTTACGATGCGGCCCTGAAGGCGTCGAACGTCGTTTTCCCTTAAGGGACCTGACCCATGGGCGTCAACGTCCGGTCCAGCCAAAGCGGCGTTGACCAAGAGCCCCTTCACTAACGCTCGTTTCATGGATAGACCCGCGCCAGAATGCCAGAAGCCCCCCGCGCTGTGGAACGCCGCCCTGGCGGCGCTGAGCCTTTCGTGTAGCTCGGACCCTGGAGTTGGCGCCGAGGCCTGCAATCCCTCCGCGGTGCAGCTGCGATGGAGAGTACGCCCATCGACGACCTGCTCCATTGCAAAGCATGCTTTGGATCCGATGGGCCCCGCGGCCTCCGAAGCAACATATTATCCGGCTTGCTGATGTTCTGCCCCGCCCCCGCCCTCCTCGGCCCCTCGTCAGTGGCGTCGTTTTGGAATTAGCTGCCTCTGCTGAACGCCCCCCCCCCCCCCCCTGCCCCCCATCGCTCTGTTAGCTACGTCGCCGACGTAGCCAGTCATCGAAAACTGCCCTGACCATTGGGCGCCCCGCGGCAGCGCTGCTTCGAGACGCGGGCGCCAATTCTCAGCAGCCGCGAGGCGGGCAAAACGCTCGTGGGCGGGCTCCAAGAAGGCCCTGCAAAATAATTGCGTCGCTCCTGCGTCGCCTGGAAAAGGCCGCTCTTGCCCCGCTACCAAAAGGGCCCCGTTTCGTCTCCGAGGAGGAAAATGTCGTGAACAAGCCCGTCCTTTATGAGTGTTTGTCCACTGGCTTGTAGCAGGAGCCGATGCAATCTAGATGCGCAGAACGGCGAGCCGCGCAGCATGCATGCGCGACGTCGCGGCATCTCTGCACGCGTGAGACCCCTGCCGTCTGCACCCTGTAACTCCCTGCCAGATACACCCCCATCGCCGCCCCCCTTCCCCCCCTTCCCCTCAGGCCTCAGCGGGCCCAGTTGGGCGGGCCCTAAGCTGGGCCTTCGCGAGCAAGAGCGGCGCCGCGAAATGCGCGAAGGAGTGCTCGCGCGACCGCGATGAGGTGCCCGCCCTCTGCGTCGAGCTTGCTGGCGCGCTCGGGCATGCGCGCTGCCTGTGCGCGGCGCCATGCTGCGGGGCGCCTGCCACGCAGTCGGCGGGTGCGCGAGAACCCTGGCAACATGCGTCTCGCCTCCGTGATCCCGGGCATCTCCCCCTCGCTTCCTAGACCGCGTCGCCGCGCGGGTCCGCGCTCATTCGCCCACTTCGGGTGGAGAGCTAAGCGCGGGCATTCTGGGGGGGGTGCTCCGATTTGGCCACGTCCTCCAGAAACGAAGCCGCCGCGCGCTGGAATACGAGAGGCACCTGTCCTCGGCAGCCAAAAAACGCGCTCCGCCGTGCTCCACCTGCGCGCGATGATCTGCCTGAACCTCTTGCGACACTTGCTCCGGGGCCTGGGCGTTGGCTGCGCGCCCCCCCCCCCCCCCCCACACACAATGGGTCGAGCTGCGTCTTGCGCGCCCAGCTCGCGGCGCACGTCGAAGAGCCCAGCGCCGCTGCGAACCTGCGCTGCCTGGGGCCTCGCCGCCTGCAGGCAAGGAGGCGCGCCATCCTCTGCGCTGAGTAGTTGTAAATGTCCGTCGCCGCTACCACTAACGCCGCGCATCTGCTCTGTTGCATCGCCTGCCAACGCTGTTGACTGTGTCCTCGCTTGCCCACGTGCTTGATGCGCTCGCTGTGCTCTTCGTCGTCTCTGTCTCGAGGTCCCCGAGGGCCCCCGGACGCTCCGCGCGGCTGTCCGCGCGCAGGGGGATCTCGCTGAGGACCTCTAGCGCGGCCTGGTTCACTACGTTCATGAAGACTGTGCTCATCTGGTCTGTCTCCCGAGTCCCCGGCCCGACCGAACTCCTCGATGTTTTCTGCAACTAATCTTTCCATCGCCCCGAGTACCCACCTTGGCTTGTACCCTGTCTGCGCGCGCTGATGCAAAGCTTCTCCGCTGGGACGCGGGCCTCGCAGAGGATGATCAGTGGCTGCTACATATGCGAAAAGGGCCGCGACGACGGGCTGGCGATCTGTTCTCTCTGCGAATAACTTTCCGGGGCATTTTGGCACTCGAGGTGGGTGCCTGGACACGTTCGACGGTGCCCAGTGGCGCCGATGGAACGATCGCGCGATCCATGTAGCTCCCCAGGCCCGCGTTCGAGGTGAACGCGGGAGGATAATCGTAGCGGGCTTTCACGCCTGTCAAATCCCAGCCCGCCTAGACCCGTTTCAGTCGCGCCGAACTCGGGGCGGTCTTTCCACGCCCGCGTCTCCCGGCATGACCACCCTGAAGCGGAATGGGGCAGCCCGCCGCGGATATCAATGAAAAGCAGTGGAACTGCTCCTCGCTCACGAGAAAAAATATCGCTTCACTCAGCCAAGTGCATGTCCAGTTCAAAGTTCGTTCGCATACAAGACGCGCCGCTCGAGGGGCCTCGCGAAGGGGATAGCGCGCAACGCGCACTCTGAAACTCAGGCCCCCTCGTCGAAGAAATCATCCAAGACAGCGATGTCGGAACATGGACCATTTTTTCGATTCGAGATAATCGGGTATCTAGCGCGTCGCAACAACGAGGCCACTCCGCAAGCTTTAGACGTCAGGGCTCCCCGCGAGTAGCCAGAGTCGATGGTGTTGTGCCCTCCCATATTCCCGGTGTCCTCCCACTGCTCCCCCTCGACTTCAACTGCGCGCCCGTCGGTGCGATTATACCCTTGTTGCCAAGTGAATAAAACATGTTCAATCAGCAAGAGCATGCGTGTGCGATTTGGTTACCGTGGAATGAAACTGCCCGGCGCGCAAGGCGCCAGCCCTTGCCGAGGGCGCGGGGCCGCCGCGCGACATGCCGCCGCGGGGCGAGGGGGGCATGTCCGACGCGAAACGCGGGGCAGGTCGGAGATGGTTGGGCGGGGCGCTCCTCGGCACCTCACCCGGGCCATTTTGGCGGATGAAGGCAGAAGGGGGGAGGAGGAGGAGGAGGACAATTCGCCCTGTGGAAACGGTGGGATCATGAGTTGTAGAGGGAAGATGAGGAGGGGAAAAGAGGGGGGATTTCTCACTATGGAGGATCAGAGCCGTGCTGCGCCGCCCTGGGAAAAAGAAAGGCCCCCCCTGTGGTGGCCCCCAATAGTCATTCATTAAAGTGTCTACTTGCGCAGCTCAACCTCGCCGACACGTGCTGCTGGCGCCGCGCGACTGCTAGTCGCACCACTCGCAAAATACCCCAGACCCTCCCCAAACAGCGAGGGGCCGCACTTTTGTTTGTTTCTTTTGTTGAAAAAAAGGACAGCACGCACATTCGCGCGCCGCGCGCTCTGACATTTCGAAACGCCGGGCGCATGGGGGCAGCATGGAGGCCCTGGACCTGAACTGTGCTGCCGCCTGGGTCCTTCAGATTACGACACGCATCCAAGCGCGCCGCCCCAATACAACTCCGTGGGGTACCACTCCCACGGAGACAAACCTACCCCCACGCACGCCTGGGCGGGGACCCGCACCGTGGGAGGGACGGGTAAGGGGCGACGAGGAACAAGAGTTTCTCCCCCGCCCGCCCCTGCCGACCATCGTGGTTGCCCACGACACTAGGACAGGCACGAGCGAGGTGACAATCGGGCTGCTACCCCCTTGTTTACCTGGGAAGGGGACCCAGGTAGCACAGGTGCCAGGGCTTGCCAGGGGAAGGAAGGGGGAGGAGGAAAAGGAGGAAGAGGAGGAAGGAGGACAGAAGGAGAGGGAGGCGAGCCACGGGAAGGGAAGAAGAAGAGGAGGGGGAGGAACGAGAAGAAGGGAGGCCACTCGCAAGGGCGACCCTGTGCAAAAACTACCTTTTTGCTTCGCGGCCTGCCAATGGCTGCACACGCTGCGACCGACCGCCAGGGAGCCTGCGTGTCTGGGCCTCCCCCCCCGCGCCCTCCATAAGCTGGGCCCCATGGGAGGGGCTCCCCGTACCCATACGGACACGTTTCGGGTGAAAAGGAGGCTCGGGGGGGGGGAGCAACCAACGTCTCACTCAATCGATCTCGCTATCGATACCACTACAGGTGTCACTTCTGGTACACCAAGTCGCTCCGCGCC